CGGGTGATTCTTTCATTTGGGATGAACAAGTAGATAACCTAATGAACCATACTACAGAGTGATAGAGAGAGGAGAGTGGATGGGAGTGTACAGACCATCGAAGGGCGCCGTCGAGGAGGATCCGGCCATCTCGTTTTGTCGGTGACGTTCTGCGCACGGGCAGCGATGGTCGGAGAAGAGTCGGTGAAGTCCGATGACGCGGTGGGGTGCAGTGAGGCCGACGGTGATGACGGTGGCGTCTTCCCATCGCTGGCTGCGCGCCCTTACTAGATCGGACTTAGGGTTTGTTGGTGGGGCGGATTGGCTCACGGTGAACCTCGTACTATGAGCCGTCGGCCCCCACCACTTTATATAGCGCAGTGCGACGGGGGCCCACCAACCATATAGGGTTGGGCGCCCCCGATCAGGACGCGTGACCAAGGCCTAATCGGCCGTTGGGCTTATTGGCTGGGAGATCAATCCAACAGCGCGTTCTCTATGCGGAGGTGCTGTTCCTCCAGCGACACCTCCCCGAGCACGGCCCAAACTCCAAGCCGACGCCGCTGCCCGAACTCCAAGAACTGGGGGGCTCTCTACTAATTTGGACGTCAGAATCCAGGCTCACGCGTGGCTCACGTGCGCTCTGACCCCGCCACGTCGGCAAAAACCTTGATCTGATGAGTTATGGACCTAAATGACATACTTAAACAACATTAGGGTGGCAGAAGTACGATTAGAGAGTTTGTAGACCTAAGTAGCACCACGAGACAAGTTCAATGGCCTACGATGCATATACCTCAAAAATAAATATGGAGCTACATGTTGTGGACATATTTAATATTTGCGACAAAATTTGTCAGATTTTATTTGAACCATCTGATCTTGCTTTGTGAGGGGCACATTGCCTATTTTTCCCCTCACTGTTTCTTATTGTTTCAAATTAGTGTTCTCTAGCATCTTTAAGTTTCGTATGGTTTTTTTCTTGGTTTTTATTACTTTGTGTTTCTTGCTAATTATACCATTTTGTCTTGTATTCATATAGATTTACTGGAGTTGTAGCATTTCTATTCTTCATGTACTAGCGTGAAAATTCTTTGTAAACATATAATAATTAAAAGTGGACTATCTGTTCTTTGTAGTGTTTTAAATAGTAGGCTATAGCAGCTCACCCTAGCTGTGGCAACAACATCGCTGTACTAAACAACATAGTACTATAGTGGTCGAGCGAAGCTCTTCACTACATGGTACAGCCTACAATTTAAAGCATTGATTGTATGTAAGTAACTATATTGGATGCATGGTTAAACATTTATTAAGAATAAGGGTGCGTTTGCATAGGTGAATTAGGGCAGTCCCAATGGTGTATTGATGATGGTTTCTATCCTCATTAAATGACTTGTCACGTAGGTAAAATGCTGATATGGCAACGTAATTAATGAAGAAAGAGAGCAAAAATCCTAGAAATGGTTTTCTCATGAAGAAATCAGGTCTTCTCTTAACCCAATGCACCCAGAAACAATAAAATCTCCATTGGAGAGAAACCACCAGTTTTCAGGGGGCTCGTGCCACACTCCCATTGGAGGAAGAAGATAGAGTTGAGAGAGAAAGAGAAAATAATTATTACATAAAGACACCTCCACTGTAGAAGGTAGTTTCTATAAATGATTTCTTGTGCTATGGAAACCGCATCAGTTTTTTTTCACTGAGACTGCCCTTAGTTCCGTTTCTCACTTGAATCAGTACCAAATGGTGCTAGGGACGTGGGATTTAGAGCCGATTCTCTTTTCCTTGGGTACTTCTTGAAACCGCAACATGGCAGTTTCTACCGATTCTATTTCTCTCTCTTTCATTAGCAATTGTTTTTTTTCGGTTAATCCTTTTTTAAGTACAACACATTAACATGGATTGTACTATTCAAGTTGTTCTTTGTCCACAAAAAGTTTGATTTTTTAAAGTTTATATAAAAATAACATTTTGTGAATCATAATCTAGCCTACCAACCAAACGATTTGAATTATCACATAAAATGTTTTAGAGAGAATCTAGATCTGAAATGTTTGTATGCAATTTGGATCTCTACCAAATACACCCTAAAACTCTTGCTAGATCCAAAAAAAAAAGTAACCTTTAAGCGTTGTTCGGTTGTTGTGAAACGAGCCCAGAAACCGTTCCTGATGATGGTTATTCAAATTAATAAAACAATCCAATGGGAATCTAGCCAGGAGGTCATTCCGTAGCGACCAAACATGCCCTAAACAAGACCGAGTACTCCTACTAATATATCAATGACCCGAATTAATCAGAACATACATATTCATAATAACTCTTGTGCCTGCTGGGTGCTGGCTAAGGGCACTTCCAATGCTAAAAGCCACCATAGTTCCTGTAGCTTCGAGACTCCACCGCTGGAAAGTATCCCTCCCAATGCAACTTTTCTATTTAGAGTCGAGATAAAAATCTGGCCAATTATTCACCTTGTGCTTCTCTAGCATCGTTGGATCCTCTGTGCAATGCGTTGTGCAGACACAGGCACACAGCGAGCTCGTCGCCGAACTGTCCGCCAAGCACGTCTAGATCATCGCTATTTTTTAATTTGGAATCAAACTGAATCAACCAAGTCCATGCTGTTGGCTCGTTCGCTGGCCTCGCATAGCTCCAAACGCCGGCCGCGTCCAAGCAGGCTTCGCGGTCGCGGAGCCACGCCACGGCGGCGCCGACACGGGAGGAGGCGAGGGGAAGGAGACTGCGAGCTCTTCTGCGCAGGGAGGCGATGGGACGGAGAGTTTCGGCGAGCTGGACGGGCAGCGAGTTCACCGCGGGGCGGTGGTGCCGGGTGCGGCCGCGAGCTCGGCGTAGAGAGGCAAAGGGAGTTTGGTGGGCTGGGCGGGGCGGTAGCGTGCGAGGTCCCCGCGACCTCTGCGGACGGCGGAGCTTGGTGGCGGCCGAGGGAGGTGGCGCGCGAGCTCCTCGCAACCTCTGCGGACGGCTGCAAGGCGAGCTCTGCGGCCCGCGGCGCTCGGACGGCGCGCCGTGGCGAACCAGGGCAGGGCGTATGCGGCAACCGGGGCAGGGCGGGCCAGTGGCGGAGCCAGGATCTATACTCAGGGGACCCGTTGTCAGGAATTATACTTAGGAGGATCGGCTCGGTCTTTTTCATTATGATAATTTTATTATCTAGTTGTGTTTTGTATAATTATATTATCTAGAAGATATTAATAGGTATATATAACAAGAATTTTATATAATCTCCCTCTTAATATAAATAAAAAATATTAAGTCATACTACTATTTTTTGTTATTGTGAAACATTGGGGGGGGGGCATGGCCCCTGCCAGCCCCCCTGGCTCCGCCAGTGGGCAGGGCAGCTGCGACCTCCGCGTGCGGCGGCACGCCGGCCAGCACGCGCGAGCTCCGCGGCCGCAGCGAACCGGGACGGGGTGTAACACGCCAGACCCGGCACACGGCACATGCTCACTCTACCGAGGGGTGAGCTCCACCTAGCTAGCAATTCTCTTGCGCTTTCGTCCTCGCTTCACGTAAAACGATTAACCGAAGGTCATATCCTTGTCGGCCTATTTAAGCTGGGTCGACGAACTCACAACTAACTAGCTACCGTGCTTTCTGCAGCTACAGTCTTGTTCCTACAGTACCAAAAATTGGTTCGGCCCAACTTGGCCCAATGGGCTGGGTTTCACATCCACCCACCCTTAAAGGACTCGACGTCCTCGTCGAGCTCTCGAACCAGCTTACCCATACAGGACAAATGCTCACGATCGACTCTCTTAGCCCACGTCCATATTCCCAGCTCCCCGCCCCAAGTGCCATGCTCTCACAGGAGCCATGCGCAACATGTCCGAGCTCCCGAGCCATATATTCGTGAAAACTGCGAGAGTTGGCTCTGAATACCATTTGTAACACCCTAGACCCGGCACACGGCACAAGGCCCACTCTACCGAGGGGTGAGCCCCACCTACGTAGCAACCCGCTTGCGTTTTCGTCCTCGTTTTGCGCAAAACGATTAACCGAAGGTTACTACGCGTCCTTGGCCTAGCTATTTAAGCTGGGTCGGCGAACTTAGAACTACCTAGCTACAGTGTTTTCCACAGCCTACAGTACCAGAAATCGGTCCGGCCCAACTTGGCCCAATGGGCTGGGTCTCACACGGGGGCGGTCGTGAGCTCCATATGTCCGCTGGCGTGGCGCCAGCTAACGCTGTGCAGCAATGACAGCGCCTGTGAGCGAGCAGCGTCGAGTGGGCGAGGCGAGGAACAGTGTCGGCCGACGGGGAGGGAAGGGGAAGGCGCACCGGATCCATGGAAACGATGGACGACTTCCACAACGCGCACGGGGCTGGTTTCCACGGCATGGGTGGAAGCCTAGACTCAGCGTCTATGTTAGATGCCGTTTCTTGTTTCTCCCCCTCTCCTTCTTCGATAAATATAATGCCACGTTAACAAAATTCAATAAATAGAGAGATAATAAATGAACATTGATAAAGTCTATAGGAAGTGCCCTGGCTAACTAATAACTAAACAGCTACGTACGGTAGGCTAGCTGTAGCTCTTGATTCCTCCTCCACTTGGCTTTCTTGCCACTATCTTTATTTGCAGCCACGACATGACCCACAGCTCCAACCACATAAACCATCCAACCTCCCAAAACCTCTCCGATCCTCGTCCTCCCATTGGCTGCCTACCTCCCGTGTGGTTACCCACACCACCACGTCTCTCTCTCTAAGCTTGGCCGTTAGGGTAGGGAGCAAGCCTAGTACTGGACTAATTAAAGCAAGGATTAGCAGGCACAGTGTCTAGTCCCAAAACAAACAAGAGGCACCAAACTAAAACCAAGAAAAATCCAAACTTACTCATGCAGAGGATCCAGCTAGTCGATAGCAGTTTAATTTAGCACAAGCAACAGAGCCATGACGAAGAGGAAGCAGCAGAGCTAGTAGATAAACACATGCAGTCCAGCTCCAGCAGCCTCTGCAATGCCCGGCGGCTATGAGGAGCTCTAGCTAATCCATGAGAAACCCCTCTTCTCCGGCCTCTTCTTCCAGCAGCGCCGCCGCACAAGAGCACCGCCTGCAGGAAGAGGAAACCCAAAACCTGCACCACCACCACCAAGAGGTAGCCGCCGGCATTGTTATTCCGTTTCCTCCCAGTAGCAGTGAAGCTGATCAAGCCCACGACGACAAGGACGCCGAGCTGTCGCCGCAGCGCTGCGAATGGGAGTTCCGGCTGGCGGCCACCGTGCCGACCACCGCCCTGCCGGGTGCGTCCGACGCCATCGGCAGCGTCGACTTCGACCCCACCGGCCGCCTCCTCGCCACCGGCGGCATCGCCCGGAAGATCCGGATGTACGACGTGGCCTCCATGCTGCTGCTGGATAGCGCCGGCAGCGGCGGCGCCCGAGCTGCTGGCCCCGCGGCGTGCATCTGCGTGCCGGCGAAGCTGAGCAGCGTGCGGTGGCGCCCGGGCGGTGCCGCGTCGTCGTCCGTGGTGGGGTGCGGCGACTACGACGGCGTGGTGACGGAGTACGACGTGGAGCGCGGCGTGGCGTCGTGGGAGCGCGACGAGCACGCGGGCCGCCGCGTGTGGTCCCTGGACTACGCCCCGGGCGCGGCCATGGCGGCGTCCGGGTCGGACGACCGCACGGCGCACGTGTGGGACCCGCGCGCGCCTTCGGGCGGCCTGGCCACGGCGCGCGCCGGCGGCGCCGTGCTGTGCGTGGAGTTCGACCCCTCGGGGGCGCCCCACCTGGCCGTCGGCTCCGCGGACAGCCGCGCCGTCGTGTACGACGTCCGCGCGCTGGGCCGCGGCGCCGTCGCGCGGATGGACGGCCACGCCCGCGCGGTGACGTACGTTCGGTGGGCGGGTCCGGGGCCGGGGCGGCGGGTGGTGACGTCGGCGGCCGACGGGACCCACCGGCTGTGGGAGTGGGGCGGCGCGTCGGCGGCGGAGGCGGGGGTGGAGGTGGCTGGAGCGCGGGAGGTGCGGTCGTACAGCGGCCACGCGAGCGCGCGGAGCTTCGTGGGGATGGGCGTGTGGCGCGGGGCGGGGCTGGTGGCCAGCGGCTCCGAGTCCAACCACGTCTTCGTCTACGACCTCAGGTGGGCCAAGCCCATCTGGGTGCACCCCTTCTTCGCGTCTCACGGACACGGAGGGGCCCACGGCCCAGTCACCACCGGCCCCGAACAAGTGGATACTGGTGGTGGGTTCGTCAGCGCGGTGGCGTGGCGGCAGGGCAGCCACACCGACGACGATCTCCACGGCGGTGCGCTGGTCGCCGGCGGCTCCGACGGCGTGCTCAAGGTGTTCACGTGCCGACGGCGGAGGGAGGCGGCGGGGGATGATGTCGCCCATGGGCTCCTCCTCTAACTGTGATGAGGCATTGAGGCGGAGGAAGAAGCATCCATTTCCTTCCTTCCTCCTTTCCTTGTCGTGCTTTTATTACTTGTTCCCCTTTTATTGTTTGTTTTTATTTCCTTTTCCTTTTTCTTTCAGACAAAGAAAATAAGAGTTCAAGAACAACAGCAACAAAGGGCAATTAAAAGTACATGTTTAGACTGAAATTAAGTGAGGGGAGGGTAGAAATTAAAAGGGAGGAGGAGGACAGAAGATGAGAGACTATGATGTTGATGATGATTCTTTTTTTCCTTTTTTTTCTTTTGTTTTTCTTGGTGATGATGATGCATCCCTGACAATGTACTGATCTATTTTTTAAGCAATGTAATAATAAGAAATCCACGATGACTGGCACCATCATTTCTTTATTTACCCAACGAGTTCACTCACTCCACGACTCACATGCCTCTGCACAAACTGCATGTATGTCGTCGTTCTGTCCTCTGTTTTTTTATTGCACATGCATACACTGCACTTCTGCTGCAACAATGCAGTACTACATGTTTTCTCCTTCAACTGCAATGAGCCTGCCATGCCTTTTGCTGCAACTCTCCTTTTTTCTTTGAAAAAAAGATATGATTGTGTTGTGCTTCATTTTATGGGCCTTATTAAAGCTTAATTGTCGGCCTGCTACTGCTACCTCACATATCCATTTCCTCCTCTTCCTGCCCAAATACTTAGCATTGTTAGGCCTGGGCCTGGGCCTGTCTCCCAGCACAAAAGTGGAGAATGTGTGTACAGCAGGCGTACGCCACAAGCATTAGTCTGCGAGGTCAACGTATAACTGGATGACAAGTTCAGAACTTGCAGTAGGTGACTGTTGAACTCAGTCTCCTGTCTTGCTTTGTGTTCACTAGGTGACTACTGTCGTGTTTATGTTCTGCCATGGCTAGCTCCTTTGATGTACATGTACTCAAGTTCGTCAAACTTGGATAACTACGTTTGTTATCTCCTACTGATCTCAAAAGATGTAAGAGTCGCTCGTCATAGGCTCATGGCTGACGCAGAACCGGAGCACTCGTGTGGTTATTGAATACTAATAACAGTCATTATGCCATAATCTCCTTTCTTCTCGCATGTATAGACTCAAAAGGCTAGCATATAGCATATATAACAGCTAGGCTTATGTGATCTGCGTTGCACACTGCTGCTGGCTTCAGTACTTGCAAGTCTGCTCTCATACATGGATGGACTCATCTCCTCCACTTTGGCCTTGAGCACTGGCCGGCATCAATAGATAATGCATTTGCACACACCTGGATACGCTTTTCTTTGCTTGCTTCATATGCAATGGAGAACAGCTCCAACATATACCCCTCATTCCCTCAAGACACACTTGGAAAGTTTTCCTCTTCTCCAGTTCTCCCTTGAGGGGTGTTCTATTCTTTCTTTCTTTCTTTTTTTTTAAAAAAGGAAAATGTTTTTTTACCAACACAAGATCACAACAAAAAATGTCACATCTTGTTCTTCATCATGCAAGCATAAAACCACCATGATTCGTATTTAAGCACAAATGTCCACTCAGCCCTCCACTCAAAAGCCACAACACGGCCTGATTTAGATTATTTTAGTGTAGATGCTTAGCAAGATGGCATACTTTTCTCAGCGTTCCCTACTTAATCCTGCAAAGACATACTGACAATTTGCACAGTGAGGGCATCCTTGATTATTCAGCGCGTATGTCCTCGTATGAGCTGGCCCTGCTTATCAAAACCCCCAATCTCGCCTGCCCCGGCTTCTATGTGGATTATAATTCTCAAGCAAGCAAGCATTGACTTGCATCCCCATCATTGCAAGTACAGACAGATGAGCCCCGGTGCATGTTCCCAGCCACATTGTTTAGTCAGCAGCATATTTCGCATATCGCCATCGTTACCGCGTTCCTTTAATCGGCGAGGAGGATTATAATCACATCCTTTCGCATATTTACATTACGTTCTAAGATCGACGGATCATGGATATGACAAGGACAAAAAGTCTTGTTGCCGGTGAAGTTGTTAAACTGGGGTGTGGAGAGTTAAGTTCAGACTTGAGGGGGGCTCTCATTTAGAGTTTCAGACAAAAGATTGCGCCTTTTACCTGTGTGCCATTAAAAAAGTTTAATTACACATAAGCTATTAAAAATTTTAACCGCACACAGCCGTCACTGCTCTAAACTTCTTATAGAGGCCATTCGTCCTTGTTAGTAGCCCTTACATGTGGGACCCATTAAGTGAAAATTCTTCATATTGTCCTTAGCGTTGTGGGTGGCGGAAATTCACCTCTGCCGAGCGCGCGGTCCGCAGGCGGCGTGTCCTCTCCTCACAGCGGAAACTGAAGAAGCAAAACCCTCCGGTTGGCGGCACACAGCCAGCCGTCGTGCCTCGCAGCTGCCTGGATGCACCGGTGCTTGCACTGCTTTGGAGGACGAAGAAATGGGTGAGAATCCAAGAAGAAATTTTATACATGGTTCTTATTGCGAAATACGAGACTCAGGTAAATAGTGCTTATGTCATGTGGATTAGTTTCAAGAAAACCCAGGGGCCTCGTTGCAAAAGTTCTACCGCCGTCTTGCCCTAGGCGAGTGGGCCGGCTTGATGGGCAGCTTTCATGCTGCCGCCGGGCGGCCCGGCTTTGTCTTTGTCGCACCCCCGCTTTGGGGACGTCCGCGCCAGCTCACTGCAGCATTGGGCACCAGCGTCCGGGGTGGACCGGCCGTTCCGTTCTTTGGGCCACCACAGCGCCTTTGACAGAAGGGAGTTTGGCCGCCCGGGCCTTGTCTTGTTGCGTTGTTTTGGTTTTGTTAATTCAGTACCTTTCTAAAATTGAAAATAAAGTGTAGAAAAAATATAAAAATGTCAAACCAGTTTTGTTGAGTTACTAAAATCGTGATCTACATGTTAGTATATTTTGTTCATATAGTGTAGTAATATTCTTGAAAGCTATATAATTAATTTAAGGTACTTAATATTGTAAAAATATAAACTTGTAGGAATTGTTGTGATAAATTAGTAATAGTGTTAAATCTAAAATTTTTACAGTATGCTCCTAGCAATATTATGTACTCACTGTAATTTTTGTAGCTCCAGAATAATTAGTTTGTTAAATAGATAATGATGTCCTATTTCGAATAAAGATTAAATTGATAGAATAGGATAAAGAAACACATTGGGTTTATATAACTAAAATATTTGTTGGGAAATAATGTCTTATCCGACAACGTGTATATGTAGCCTAAGTACGGTCGTCGTTAGAACTAGCCCGTTAACTTGATAGGCGTAAATCGTATTTTACGTGTCACGATTATAGTCGATTAATTACGTCTTTGCATTTCATCGCATTGCATATCATAATAGGGACGTCTATGGATCACAGAGTCATCGGGAGTTGCTAGAGAAATGGTGCTTTTGGAGATCGGTCGTCATGATGGAATGCTAACTTCTGATTAAATCTTACCCAGACAAGCCTCGGTGCATAACCCCTACTTTTATGCACTTTAAATTATATTTGTGCATTAAGTTTTAAGGAGTTGAATGAAAACCCACTTACATATATATCTTATCCTATGAGTCTTACTAGTATGACAGGATCGTGTAGATTGCTATGCTACAGGACTCCGGTAGAAGTCGAGTGATTACTGTCACTCGCGAGATATAGGAAATATTATCACCTGGGAAATATAAACGGTGGAAAGGAAAAATGGTGACCGGGCAGGGATATGAGTTTGGTATTGGTGGGTGTAAAGGGTTGTGTCGCCGCGGACGCGAGGCATAGCTTGGTTACATTGCTTTTCCTAGCTGTGTCGGTTAAGGACCGATTATTGCATAAGACTCGAGGCAAGTCACATACTTATTATCCCGAGCACATACTTGGGTATGGGCGCTTGAAAGACTTGTTGCTCTCTTGTCGTTGATCCGGCTCTTTCCGGACCGACTGTCTTGGTGGTTTTTGGGTTAGGAGGTCCTTGCACCGCATTAAGTCTAGGACTCAGGAGCGGGGCTTGGAGTCCCAGTTTGGACGGAGACCTGGACACCCAGGACAGGAGGGTAATGGGCTGGTCCTGCTTATGCCCGGGGTACAAGCGGGACGTGTGTTTTTGGGTACCCAACTGGGGGCATTGATTCACGAATAGCCAGGCAATCCGGTACGGCTTGTTTTGCGCCTAGCACCGTAGTAAGAACTGAAAGATGGAAGATGAAAAAAGAAAATCTGATTGCTTACCACCTGCTTGAAAGTAGCACATGTGCTTACATAGAATGGTTAGTTCATGAACCAATGCGGCTATTAATAAAAATCGAATATAAGGACACTTTTAGTAATGCTCCTGCAGATGCAATAAACCCACCAGCTAGATAGCCTTGCATATCCTTGGAGTCTTTTCTTTTCTCCTATCGGGTAAGTTTTGCTGAGTACAATTGAGTACTCAGGGTTTTATTCCCCCTATTACAGGTGACAGGTGGATGCTAAAGCTGACTCTTGTGTGTGGATTTCTCTTGGTGGGCTCAGAGAGGATTTTCCTTTACGTTGCGATCATAGTTTTTATTTATCTCTTACTAAATGTTTTTATAAATGAAAGTTTTATAATCTGTTGTCCTCATTCACACATCAATGCTTCATCACACCATGAATAGATAATTATTTCCGCTGTAATTATGACAACATGTTTATATTTCGCTGTTACATTAAATTGTTTTATAACTCTGATAATATAATTACATTCCGCTGTTATAATAATAAATGTTATACTCTGATGTACATGTAAAGTGATGTAAGAAATGGGTAATAATGATGTAAGCTTTATTCTCTTATTTGTGATCCTGATGTAAAAATATGGATTTTTTGGTTCTCCCTTGGGGTGTGCTCGACGGGACCGCGTGATTTAGTGTTCTCCCTTGAGTGCTTAGTGTCTAATGAAAGACGAGCACTCCTGAGAGGCATTAGATTAGGCGGTTCTACCACATGCCCTCTCTCCCTACAGCAGCGGTGAATCTACCCCCTCTCTCCTGGTGGTGGCGCGGCATCGGGCACTCAACTCGGCGACGACGGCTCGCCCTCTCTCAGTCTCTCTCTCTCGGTCGCAGACACGAAGTGCCCCCATCAGCGCTCGGCAGGTTTCGGAGATCCGTGGGTTTTGGTTTTGGGGATAGATTTTCACCCGAATTGGTGTTCGGGACAGTTTCGGGTTTTAGGTTCGGGTTTTGATTTTTGGTGCCCCGACACTCCACCCGATCCGAATCCACCCCGTTGCCATTCTTAGCGGAGGGAGAGAAGAAGGAAATGAATGCGGGGCGGGACAGGGGTCATTAATTAACCTGGCATGTGGGCCCACACGGCAGAGGAGATGGGTCCGCATAGCAGTAGACGGTGGAATGGAAGAAACATGAAAGTTGGTGGGGGTTAGCTGTGCTGTGCGTGGGCCCGGGCAATCTCTGAGTCATGGGTGAGGCCAGCAGTTGGTTGGTGCTGTGCTACTGGTCCTCCATAGTTAACATGTTCTCCACCGTCCAAAACAACATAGACAATTTTACTGACCGATCCCACATGTAAGAGCTATTGAAACGACGAAAAACAAATAGAACAAGGACGGAATAGCTTGTAAGGCAAAAAAAAAAAGTTTATAACAGCGGTACTTATGTGCAGTTAACTTTTTTAATGATTTATGTATAATTACAAACTTTTTGTGTGGCACACAACTAAAAGGCTCCAAAAGATTCATTTCCATCGCCTCCTCCATTCAGAGCAATGCAAATAGTTTACCAGTGGGTCCTAGTTTTTTAGTGCAAGATGCGAATTCGTATGGCGATTAGGTGTCTGTCCACATGCAGCTGCGCCAAGTCAATTTTGCCAACCAGTATAGTTTTGCATAGCTCCTACTAGTTTATAGCTGTCGGCTAATGCTGAGAAATACTAGTGGTTTTGAAATTGATTTTTCTCGTAAGCGAATCGCCGTGTTTGATGCTGAGACAGGCAGAGAAGAAGAAAGAGGGGATTAAGACGCCCCCATTCAGATCACATGGAATTGTCCTCTCTTGTAGGACATGGTTGCGTACTAAAATAGGACAGAGATATCAAGCATGATAGGACCCCCTATATCATTAGCAACCTCTAGTTTCTGTCTTTCCAAGGGGATAACGAATTCTGCTAATATATGTCACTCTCCTGTATATGGGGTAAACTATAGGTAAGCATTAGGTCATGCCTCTTTGTTTTTGGTTCTTGTGCCTCGCGAGCTCGCTCGAGTGCATGTTGTTACCTTCATTTTGTTTTCAATCTTTCAGAGAAGTTGCAATTGTTTGGTAGATAAATACACTTGTTAAGCGCACTGTGTCAGTACTTGCTTACTGGCGCCAGTGATCTGCTTCACTATATTTCTTTTTTTATTGAATGAGCAGTAGCAGTAGGAAAGCTTCCAGTTGGAGTTATCTGTTCTTATTTAACCTTCACAAGATGTTTCACAATTTCTGGCATTCTGCAACAGAACAGCCTATGGGAAACCTTCATTTGCAAATATTGATTCTTGTAAATCCCACAGAGCGTATAACTACCACATCAAAATCTAGCTGAACTCTAGACAAATCCATAGCAGAGTAGTAAGGTGAGATTTACTTCTTTCAAAGAAAGTCACAAGGGATCCATGTCCATCAGACTTCATCATCATGACGCAGATTTGGCTTTGGTTCATCTGTCGTTGTAGAGAAGGTCTTTTCTTTTTCCTAAGTGAGGAACGCAAGAACAAGGGAAGAGAAAAGTAGTACCTGAACTAAGATTCTAAAAACAACTAGTGCCAGGAAAGGACAAAGTTATCAGGAATTCATTATGTCAAATAATGCCTTAGCTGTCAGACTTGAACCATTAGTTATCCTGCAACTGAGCATAGTATTATCAGTAGTAACCGAGTTCTTGATGTCCCTCCAAGAGGATCAAGAGAAGGACAATGGTTTATGCACTATATGACAGGGATACGTGTTGAATTGAAGGACCTGATTAGGAGCTCTAACAAGCCATTCTGCCAACTCAATTGATCTGACATTGGGTGAAAGCAGAAGCACTGTGATTGCATCCATCCAAGCTCCCCATCATTGTTGGGTTTGTGCTTTGAGTAATGAGCCTGTCAGCTTCAGAGGTCATTGTTTATGCATATACCAAAGGTGCATTTCATTTCACCGTCTTGATCCTTGCAATAACTAACACAAATCCTTCTGGATCCCAGCTAGGATGTCGTTTCTTGTGCCCATGCATGTCTCTCCGATTCATCCTTGGCCTTTCTCTAGCTCAGATGCCTCCTCCCAATGATTGCCGTCAGAAGAGGGATGGATTAGTCAGTCATCCAAGTGTCCGTCCGTTCATTGCAGGAACAGCTCATGTCAATGCCCCTCGCCATCATTGGCCAAGACGGTCTGACCTTCATAGCCCTGATTATTGGATAACAATGTTCTTTAGTAAAAAAAAAAAAAAAAAAAACTGGAGTGAGCATTACGCTATTACCTGATCAATCACTCATCTGAAACAACAGCGTTAAATCTTGTAGTTACATTCTTTAGAACTTGTGTACAATACTTGAGTTCAGATTACTTCAATAGGAGTAACCATTATATATATCACCACCAATTACAGCGGCATTGTGGCTGCTTAAATGAAATTAAAACAGTATATGATCCTAGGGCCAGCAAGCATTCATATCATCATTAGAAGGAAACCGAAGTTTACTCAGAAACTCTCTGAGAATCTTCCTTGTGTAAGTAATGGCGAGATAGAGGTGACATCCTCTGACCAAGCTCCCCCCTCATAATCTCAAGCATGTGCACGCAGCCACCTACTCAATTCCTCTCAATTAAACTAAACCAAGAAGCAAAATGTGCCAGCCCTTTAAATCAGAAGGGGCACATGGTGCCGAGGGACTGCTACTACTGCAACAGCTCATCTTCAGAGGAAGAGGAGGCACAGGCCTGAAGAAGAAGAAGAAGAAGAAACACAAGACGGCGGCGACAATGGGGTGCCGGTCCTGCGAGAAGCCCAAGATGAACTACCGGAAGGGGCTGTGGTCTCCTGAGGAGGACCAGAGGCTCAGGGACTACATCCTCAAGCATGGCCTCGGCTGCTGGAGTGCTGTCCCTGCAAAGGCTGGTGAGCTGCTGCTATTCTTTGTTTTCTCCTCTCCTCTCCATGACAATTGCACATTGCTGCATGAGCATGACAAGCTCATGCATGCAGAAAAAGCCTGTTGCTGATGCTCAATGCTAGCCTCATCTGCAATCAGCACAGCTTAGCTTTCCATTTGCCTCTGACCCTCAAATTAGATGGTCCGAATTTGGCTTCACACCATGTTTTCAACTCCAAATTCTACCATTGTTGTGTCTGACTAATTTTTCTTCTTCTTTTGAATGGACTTGCTTCTTCTTTTGAATGGACTTGCTTTCTCAAAGGTCTCCAGAGAAATGGCAAGAGCTGCCGCCTGCGTTGGATCAACTACTTGCGGCCCGGGTTGAAGCATGGAATGTTCTCTCAGGAGGAGGAAGACGTTGTCATCAACCTTCAAGCCAAGCTGGGCAACAAGTAAAATTCTCTCACAACCCAATGATTTTGTAATGCAAATTTATGCTGTTAATTTCTAAGAAGGGCATGGCCTTTGAAAAACTCAGAGAAAAATGCGTTTTAGTTAACGGACTTGCTAGAAGAAAAAAGAATCTTGAACTGTTAGAAGAGCAAGTATAACATCTCGCACCATATTCATGACTTCATGTTGCTGATGAATTGGTGCATACATCAGGTGGTCTCAGATTGCGATGCATCTGCCAGGGAGGACCGACAACGAGGTGAAGAACTACTGGAACTCGTACCTGAAGAAGAGGGTGATGCAGGCCCAGGGCGTGTCGTCCAACTCCAGCCCCAAGAGCCCACCCGAGCTCACCTCCATGAGCACCACCGAGCTGTCGTCCATGTCCATGTCCATGCACCAGCACCCGCACCACCACGTCAAGAACGGCGGCGGCGGCACCACGACATCGCACGACCACGACGTCAACATCAGCAGCAGCCACGCGCTGTCGGCCCCGGCGGCGGCGCCTCTCGCCCAGCAGCCGTTCGATCACCAGGCCCGGAGCTTCGTGTTCTCGGACTGGGCGCCGGCGGCGCCGGAGAGCTACTCGGTGTCCACGCACTGGCCCGCCTCCACGGCGAGCTCCGGCAACGTGACGCCGTCGCACGGCGGCGGGGGCGCCTTCGGGGACCAGATGAGCGGCACCTACGGCGCCGGCGCGCTGCCAACGCACCAGGATCACCACCAGAGCGCCGCCGCCACCGCTGGCATTGCAGGGAGTGGCTACTTTGACCTGCTCAATATGGGAGACATCTACGGTGGGTTCAGCTCCACGAACGATGATCTGCTCTTCTGAAAGAGCTCTGAACTGATGATGATGATGACGATGTCGGAGGTGTAATGAATGTGATCGGTGTTGGTGTTGTCCATCAGTGTAAGCATGAAATGCAGCGGTATACTTGTTGGATTTGTTGCTCCTTCTTCTTCTTTTGTATTTTGTAAGAAAATTATTAATTGTGATGTAGAGAACACACTCTAGGCTGGACATAATTCTTTGGTTTGTTTCTACAATATTTAATAATAATAAAAATACGTAACAAACCGTTTGTGAAGGTGTAAATGTGGATTAATCTGTGAATGCTTTTGACTGACAGAACTTCCCTGTGTAAGCACCTCATGCTCTCGGCGTTACACAGATGTACACGCTCAATTGAAATCACTACAGTTCATTGCTGCTCGATTACACTCCAAACCCATGTGAATGTGAATATATTCAAACTCAAAACTCAGATCAATTGGAGAAACAGTAGCACGGAAACCATACATAGATGTTCAAAAACTGCATAGCTTACATGCTTATATCTCTGTATATGAATATGATGACTCTCTGCCGCTAACAAGAAATAAGTTACTCAGCTTCAACCATTACATGGTGGGATTACAGGCTTTGGTACCATAGGCGCGCATAAGAAGAGATGACAGATGAGAGCTTAGTGCTTCTTGCGAGAAAAGTGGTTGTCGTTTGGATTTCTTTTCCCACTGAACATTGCGAGTGCCTTCCTCACTGGAGGTTTCAGTGGTGCCTTCTTATCACCACTCTGCGAAAATATGTCGTCGACGCCCAAGAAATCATCCTCCTACAGTGAAACTTATAATCAGATTTGTTCCTAAACAACCGTCATCACAAGTAGTAAAAGGTACCGAATAACTTGTAACAATGTCAAATGAGGGAATGCATACTTGACAACTGACCACATATAATATTGAAGTAATATACCACATAATAACATAAAATTCCTTATTGCGAATACACTTTTAAGTTAAGCAAAAATATGCTAGAGCACTAACCTTGCTTGACTTCTTCACTTTAGGATGAAGAACCTTCTGAGGAAGCTGGTCCTCACGAAGAATGGGGTTCTTAGTTATGGCAGCTCTTCCACCTTGGGGCATTGGGAGGGAAAACTGCAAACAAACAGGTAAACAGTTACAAACAACATCTTCGGCATTCTATGGAATCGACTCTGTAAAAAAGTTCAGGTGGACCGATGGAAAGATAATTGCAATCAAGGAACTAGAACTATCTCAAAACGAACATGAATGTCCTTTCTGAAGACACCAGAATACAAGAAATGTGAAGTCTCGGAACAGACCATATTGTCAGGTATTTGACTGCCACTATCAAACCAAATATCCAAATATTATTCGCCACTTATATCATGGAAACTGTTCCTCACTACTGTACTCCTGAACGCCATTGACAGTACAAGCATGAAAATAGACCACAAGGTCTAGGCAAACATATGTTTCTAAAATGGTGTGAGCAATACAGACAAGAATCAATCAATTAACCACCCTCCACTGCAAGCAGTTCAAGATCACAGAAGTTGCAGAACACATGCCTAGGCAATTAGAAAGACAAGCAGCATAAATACACTCACTTTTGTGCCTCGAAGTGTAACACGTGGGCGCCGTGAAGCCATAGTGATCCCATTTTCACCAACTGTTACTGAAACCTTCCGTAAGGTCCCACCATTGCCACACTTCGGACAAAATATTTTTCCAACCTCTTGGGTCACCTTATAGCAAGCATGGCACCTCAAAACCCACCTGTCACAGAAGCATAAAAAGACATGTGTTAGTGGCCATTAAAAATACAACGTTGTCTTGGATAGCACTATTGTACCGAAACAGGTCTGAAGATGTTAATTCGCATACCTATGCATCTGGCGTATCTGCATGCCACCTGGTGCTATGAGACGGAGGCCAATCTGCAGGATGACATTTTGCATGGCGTAATCACTAGTAACACATGCTACAGTTGATTCGGATAAAGACCTCAGAGTCCAACTCTGCTCACTGCTCTCATCTATGGAATGTGCATCATCACCTCCCTCATCCTCACCTTTTATATCTAGGTTATCCAATTCTTTGGTGCATGCATCAGTATCATCACCGTAAGCTAGCTGGTCAGAATGAAAATGTTCTCCAGCAATTTCAGTGTGATTCTCTGCTTGATGTTCAAAACCATCAGAACTTGCACTGATTTTCTCAGGGACAGAATTAAGGCCATCTGTTGAAGTCAGACCATGCTCCAATCCACCATTTCCAGAGGGAACTTTATCATCATCAATTGATGGAGCAACAGAACTTGTCTCAAAACTTTGTCGAGATTCCTTGAGGGCATCACGCCTTGCCTTCCTCCGCAAATATCTTCTGTGGGTGCTGCGGCTAACAGCAGGCATCCAATCTACATTGTTCTCATCCTCCTCCCATGCAACAGGTGCATCCTTCTCCGAAGGCTGGTGCTCTGTATCCTCTTGTGCCTCACAGACACTGTTGGTCTCGCTCATCGGGATATCTTGATTCTCAATATCCTTCAGAGGAAGTATTCGAGAATTGATATCTCCACCAGCTTCAGATATCTGGTCCAACTCTTCCCACTCTTTCAGGTTAGGCACATTAGAGCCCCAACCAGGCAGTGGAGCTTCAGATAGCTTTCTGACATTCACCTCACGCAGAGGAGGAGGGTGCTCCCGCAAATGGCTAGTCCCATGGATCTCAGCTTCTAACATGTAAGCCAAAGCAATAATCTTGATATCAACATCTGAAAGCGTTTGGATGTCTCCTGTCTCCCTGGCAAACTTGGTAACTGCAAGCAATAATAAGGATACAAAAAAGTCTCACATATATACACAGTGCTCAGACCAAGAATGGCAGCGGCTGCAGCTGAACACCCCCAATATTTGTCATAAAAAGACTAATGCTTAAATGTGATCTCTTGTTTACCAATGCTAAATGAAGACATCATGCTTTCTTACTATGATCACCATAGTAGTAAGTAAGAAAGCAAACAACGGTAGCAACATCAGCCATTAATATAGGATGATAAATTACTAATACAATCAAGAAGTCTTAGCAATAATTCACTAAACTCGACAGTTTTTTTCTCCTAATAAAAAATAAAAGACAACCCATAAAACGGAACATCAAAATGCATAAAACTTCCTCAAACAAAAAGCTACAAATTTACAACCACGAGCACTAGTGCGAGAGAGATTTAACTCAGATTAATGATGCATTCGAGAGACTAGAGCAGCGACCTTTCTTAACGAACTCCGGCGCAGGCTCAATGGTCTCGACGGGGACGGAGAGGAGCCCGAGCCGCCGCCGCGCGGCCGCGTCCCGGACCTCCTCGAGCACCTCCGGCACGGTGACAAGGCGTCCCGCGGAGGTGGAGAGAGCGGAGCCGCCGGAGATGACGGCGTTGGCGTCCACCACGGCGACCGCCACGCCGCTGGAGTTGGCGCAGCTCGCCACGATGCGGCTCACCGCCTGCGCCGCCGACTCCTTCTCCACGGCCTTCCGCTGCGCCGTCGCCGCTGCTCCCCACGCCCCGGTACCGGCCGGAGGGGCCGCCGCATCGTCGGAGGCAGCCGCGGTCGGGGTGGCGGCGGCGGCCGCCGCGGGGGCGAGAGGCGGCCACGCTTCCATTGGGGTCTAGGGTTTGGGGCTCACTTTTCTGTTTGCCCCCTTGGATTTTTTGCAGTTCAGTATTCCCGCGGGATGAGCGCGATAAATATGTTGACGACTTTGCGTTTCGGTACCCCTAATTACCGACTAATTCGATAACCTTTGCACTGCAAGGCAGGGGAAGAACAATAATCGGACCGGATTAGAATAATATAACTATTGAAAGGCGATTAGTGAATAATCACCATCCTCCTCAGCAAGCATAAAGAAGAGCGGCCCTCGCAGCGCGCTCCGGCTCCGCATCTGGCCCGGCTCTCTGTTGCGCCAACGGCCGGAACCCTAATCCCCTCCCCGGCGCCGGCGCCGCCGCGCCCCACCAGCGGCCACCAGAATCCAGATCGAGGTTTTGCTCTTGCCGCGGCCCCGCCTAAACCTGTCTCATCCACCGCCCGCCCCTGCTTCTCTGCTTCGCTTCAGATTGGGCGCAGCGGGTGATTCCTCATTCATGTTTTATGGTACTGTGTCGTATCCTTGTCGGTGGATGGTGTATTCTCTTTGGTTCATTGCCGCGATTGTCTGGTCACGGTAGGCGTATTCGTTTATGAACTGATTTTGCGTATGGAATTGTGGCCGTACTGCAGTGGAAACCCTTGATTTTAGGAGGTAGTTAAGTGGAGATTTACTGTGCGTTTTGTTTTTGCGCTGGAAATCGCTGTGATGACTTACAAAGGACGGTATCTGAGCGAGGCAACTATTATCCTCGCATGATTATACCTGATCTGAGACAAATTGTCTGAGCAAGTATCTTTAATCAATCCTAGTAGTTTATCCTGTTCCCCTGATGTTTGGTCAAAAATGCTGTCGTGGAGTTTCATGCTTTCCCGTTCACTTGTTTGCCGTGATGACATCTACAAGGACGGTATCTGAGTAGGGTGGCTCTTAAAATGGTGCCCCTTCTTCGATTACAACCAATCTGAATGAGATTCTGAGCAAACAGGTTCTGTCCTCTATTCATCAGCAAGCATTGTCTGATGGTCCTAGTTGAGCTCTACATCAAAATGCTATCCTATACTTTCTTTTATGTCAACCATATGTTTCTTTTGGCACCTTCTAGTCCCTACCATACAAGCTTTCAGATTTGATTATTTAGGTGTCAGTTTTATGCAATCCCTAGCTGGTGGTGATGACTTGTACAAGGATGGTATCTGAACAAGGTGGCTCTCGAATGGCTGGTCCTTGCATGATTACATCCAAAATTGAGACTGAACATCTGAGCAAACTTAAATATTCCAGCAATGCAGTGCTGTGAAAGCTTTTCCTTGCCTTTTGTTTTGTGCTCCTTGGGTTAAATGTTTTGCAACTGAGTACATCTTTTTAGTTTTTGTG